GTAAAGATTTATAATAGTTGCTAATCTATTCTCACTTTTGATAAGTATAACATCTATAATTTTTTATTCTATTTTTAATAACTTAATAAATCTACAAGTCAAATCAAAAGAAGATAATTTATAATCTTTAATGTCAAATAAAAATTTCTACAAAGAAGGATAATCTACTCTTTTTAAGAAAAAAATTAATATTAGAAAATTAAATAGTTTGTTTTAAGGTAGGTAATCCGTAACTTCCAAAATACAACAATAGAAGTGAAGTAATTCACTCATTTCTAAAACAAGATAAGAACAATAAATTGGCACTCTTGTCAAATTATCAAAGACATAAAACTTGAAAAAAAAAAAAAAAAAAACTCTTGTGTCAATCAAAAAGACTAAGAGTAAAGAAGGCTTCACTCTTACCTCCATATATATTCTTAACTAGAAGCTATGTGGCAATGTCCTATAAGACCTCTAAAACGTATTGACTTTGTAAGACACATATCTTAACTTACAAGTCAAGTTTTTTATATAAGCACCAAATAGTTAGCTTGTTTTGTATTGACATAAAATAGCTTGTCAAAGCAATGTTTTCATAAACTTCATAAAATAAGAAGCTTTTTTAGAAAATATTATAAAATAAATCTATATTTACCTACTTCTATTTAATCATATAGATAAATATTAGAATAAATATGTATGTCCATAATACATTACTTCTTTGGACAATATTGAGCAATATGTTTGAATTCTCTGCAATATAGGTAAAAACTTTTTTAATAACATTAAATCTTTTCTTGCTCAATAAGAAGTTTAAAACATATCATGTTAATTTGCATAGGAAATAATTTAAATGAATAAGCTTCTAAGAACTTAGAATGTATCACTATGACTTGACTTATACCTCCTTAAGCAAATCTTTGTTCTTGGCATCTTTCAAAAAGTTGATTATTGCATGCAATAGCTTAAATAATAAACTATTATAATTAGTCATTTTTTGGCTTTATTAATAATAAATCGTTAAATTTTTCTTTTAATTCATATTAAAATTAATTGATAAGGGCTTTGTCATTTCAATCTACATCATAAGCAAGATTTTAGAATTTAATAGTATATATGGTAGCTAAACATGATTTTTATCTTTGATACTCTTTTTAATTACATTCTCCAAATATGATTGTAAATACTTGTAGGAATAAATTCAAATTATAGATTAGTTATGAATTATTTTCCATCAAAAGTACAAACCAACAAAGAGTACTCTCAAATAGAAGCACACCTATGAATCCAACTTGAGTAAATCTATAAGGATATTAGAAATGATATAATCTTAGATAGAACTTTACTTGTTATAAAAACCCTCAAAACTTTAAACTTGTTCTATCAAAAAAAAATCGGCATACTTATCATTACATTCTTCATACTTATAGTAAAAATGCTTTTTAGATTTGATTATAAATTTGATCTATTTTCTTCTCATAATTGCATAACTTCTTGGCATAAACTTTGAACTTTATTATTGACTTCTTCCATAGGCATAGAAATAGTACTTCTATTATTCACATTGGAAACACGTGAAATTTCTATCCTAAAAGTGTTGACAAGCTCTCAAAGATTTACAATAGTTTCAAATTTATTTTTACTTCTATTAAAAATAGCATCTATAGTTTTTTTTCTATAAACAATTCAAATAAATCCACATGTCAAATTAAAAGAAGGTAATCTGTAACCTCTAATATCAAATAAAAATTTCTATAAAGATGAATAAATATCTATTTTTATAAAAAAGAAAAAGAAAATAAAATAAAATAGTATTAAAAAACTAAATATTAGTTTGAAGATAGATAATCTATAATCTTTAAAATACAACAATAGAAGTAGAATAATCCACCTTTTTTAAAAAAAATAATAAAAATAATGAGTTAACACTCTTGTCAAACTGTCAAAGATATGAATTTCAAAGGATTAAAAGATCAATATATCCTTATGCTACTTGAAAAGTCTAAAAAATCACTCAAGGATAATATAATATTAAACTAGAATAGCTATTGCTAAAGACAAGAAGACAAGAAGATCAAGAAGTCTTGAAATAAGACTTAAAACTACAAAGGTATTAACAAGATTAAAGAAGGCTTTACTCTTATCTCTATATATATTATCTAATTAAGAGCTATGTGACGACATTCTATTAGAACTCTAACACATGTCTTAACTTGCAAGGTAAGTTTCTTATATGTACGCTACATTGTTAGTTTGTATTATAAGCTACCAACATGTGGAACTTATGGCTAATTTATTGGTAAGTTTTTAATCTATCAATCAACTACAAACATATATAAAGTCAAATATGTATCATAAAATAATATCAAATCTATCTATATTTATCTTTTATTTAATATTTCTTCTCTAAATAAATATATATACTTGTGACAATTATTGGATGATATATTCTATCATATGTTGTATATTTTTTCTATTTATTTGAGTGTATAGTAAATTTTAATTATCATAATTAATACAAATTAATCAAAAAATATAATATATTGGCTATAGTTTTACACCACTATCACTGGATGCAAAAGTATCATCATTGATTGCTTGACAATATCATATTAAAGATGCCAACATAGGTTCTTTTGACTTTTTATTATATTATTGTTGCAACTATTGCTCCAATATTTGCCATTTGTAACATTTCAATCACAATCTTTTTAATCATAAGATATAGTGTTGTTATAGCAAAGTAAAAAACTAGAAAATCTTAATATCAATCTATTATTCAAGATATAAAACTTAAATAATAAAAACCTCAATACACTCTTATATCATTCAAAAGAATAGATATTCATTCAAAGTAGCATAGTATTAAAACTAGAATAACTATTGCAAAAGATGAAAAGACTAAAGACTTTTAAAACAAACTTTAAAATAAAAAATAAAAATAAAAATAAAAAATAAAATCATTAGAATAAAGAAGGCTTTATTCTTATCTCTATATATATATATATATATATATATATATATAATCTAACTAGGAATTACACAGCAGTGTTCTATAAGACCTCCAACATGTGTCTAACTTACAAAACAAGTTTCTTATATATACAACATATGGTTAACTTATTTTACAAGTTGCTAGTATGTGCAACATGTATCAAACTTATTGGCCAAATTTTCAACCTATCAAACAACTACAAATACATATAAAATCAAATCTGTATCTATAAAGCTTTTAATAAACTATTCTATATTATATTATCAAATCTATCTATATTTACTTTCTATCTAACACTTCTTATCTAGGTAATTATGTATGTCTATGATATTTATTTGAAATTAACATTCTTTATGATATGAATGATCATTCATATGTTGGCCTAGAATTAATCAAGTTTCTTAAAAAAGATGTTCTTTGGCTTAAATATAATTCAATTCTTGACCACATTCATAATCAAGGCTCGTTGACTTTTGATCTCCTTGTTGCCTTGCCAACTCTTGATTAATCCATAGTGTTCTTCAATGTTGTCCAATTTATGAGATATCTATTCAATTGAATATTGCAAGTCAACGTGAGCTTAATGTAATAGCAACAAAGATACCAATAAAGCCATGCATCTGATATCAAAACAGCTTCTGGTGCTCCAAATGAACCAATTCATTAGTCATGTGTTTGATCTACACTGTGCACATCTTGCACACTTTTGAGCACCACTTAACATTGAGCACATGGAAGACTACCATTGTGCAATGTTGCACAGGTACAGAGATGAACTAGCATCAATGTGCACCATTGATGCATGTGACCACAATGACATTCAATGATGCTTGGGATTGTTTCAAGGCCAGTTTCATCATCTTAGTCAAAACTTAGGCAGGTTGATGTTTGGCTTTGCCAACTCAATTAGTATTGAATCTAATTTTTCTATCTGAAAATGGGAGGACATCATTTGCCAATCTCTGAGCAATCTCTCATTGGAGGGGATCTTCCAAAGCAAACTGCATACCTGTATGGGCTCTATTTGAGTGGAATCAGCAAATACACTGGGGCAGGGTGCAACAATTAGTCTAACATCTGTCTATATGGCATATTCCACACATTAGGAGGTTAGTTTTAAAGTAAATACTCAACCCAACAGTGTTTGAAATATGTGGGTCCTTTATACTAAGCCTACATCCAGCAAAGAGGTCCACTCCCTTTATGTTTCAAAAAAACAGAAACTTTTGTTTTGTAGCTAAGTATTGAACTTTCGTGCAGTATTTATTTCCGAACGTTGTGGTTCCATCTAAATTTTCTTTTGTAAGAATAGTATTCCAGACTCATCGGAAAGTCATTGTTGCATGTTATTAAAGTTGGATTCCTATAAACCAGGTCCTTACAACGGATTCAAACCTTCACCGAATGATATCCAGTTATAATTAGTATTGGATTTTCCATTTTAGTTAGGTTGTCATTGATGTTATTTTTATTATTGTTGTAATGTGGATTATTTGAAAATGATTTCATTGCTGGGAGTTACGCGGTGGGACCCGCTGCAAAGGACCATCGTTTCATTTGACCTCAGGCAAGGATGTCGGGGCTAGTGAAAAGCTTTAAACGTTTTAAGTATAAACATTAAACAAGATCAAAGTGTACTTGAAATGCAAGAGTGACAAGGTAAACCAAAGGCTACTTCCGAATAACACCTATATTTTAATCGGAATTAACCCAGTGCACTTTCAAAGAGTACACTCGAACCTTGGGGTAAAACTAAGGAATTTCATGTATTATGTCCGAGCTGTTGAATATACGAGCATTCAATCATTCGAACATAGTTCTAAATGTAGTAAATCCAATTGAATATTGTTCCCAATGTAGTAAATTCATCCAAATCGAAATATCCAAAGCAAATACTTCTCAATTACATGCGCTGTGCGTTCATAATTGATTGTTAGTGTGAATGAGGAACTGCTACATCAGAGCCAGATGAGAACATGAACATGTGTAACAGTAAAAAATTCAAGGCACAAGGGACGAAATGTTAGACACTAAACTGATCAACTGGGTAAGCAACGATGTATTTAGACCCTAATCGGCGCAACAGGCCATTGACATGATGATTAGAGAAAGGATTCCACATACACATGATTCACTTTCCAGTGACTCTTCCGAATACTACTTCTCTACATCGCAACCGGCGCTTGTTGGCCACCAAAGCACACTAAATCAACAAGTCTCCCGTCACTTCATGACTTCCTCTACAAAACACTGCTTGCAGAGAGATAAAGCATGATGTCCCAGAATCAAGTCTGAATCATCATCGCTCCGAACCGTGTGCGAAACGTCACAATAGATTCAGGCTCATCAAGCAGCTCCAGGGGGGATCCATCGAGACCTAACTAATAGGGGCGACGTCCAATCCAATTTCCAGGCGGGTTGTAACTGCAAATGATGTAGATAGCTTGATCCGAGCACAGCACCGAAGCACACCCCACTTCTCTCGTCGTCCGCCACACCACTTGCGTGTAGTGTCCGCACATTTTCCCTGGAGTGCACGAGTTCGTCGAATACCTGTAGTCCTTGGCCTCGCCTACCCAGAAGTTGACGGCCTCCCTCGGCGTCCAAGCTTTCCCGTACCCCCAGAACAGATTCTCCCCATATTGGCCTTGCGAGTGCGTCAAGGGCCGGCACTTGCCCCGCTGAGAGTATGCGTACTTGCGAGCATACGTCGCTAGAGTGTTGCTCCACTTCAGCGGCGGCACGCCCACTCTAGACCGCGCGGCATTGTGCGGTGTAAGAAATGCTGATGGCTGGTTTGCATCCGGCGGCAACTGCGCGTCCACAACCACAAAAATCACTGAGAGCAAAAACACACAACTCAACCCCAACCGCTTCACGTCATGCCCCATGGTCACCGATAATAAAAGACCCCACGCCTCGTGAGACCTCACAACTGCAGCGATGTGGGGTAGTCGATAGCTTATGGTCACCTCATCAAACACTTTTATTTGTACGCCGCGGGGAGACAACGTCGTGGATCCACCATCGCTGGCGCCTGTTTCGGAAGTTTGGGGTTAGTCTAAGGGCTAGCTTCCTGATAGTGCCCCGATAATGATGCAACCCATCGATGGCCCTCCGAACGACTTCAGATCGAATCGCCCGTTAACTTGGACAGTAGCTCGAATCCCAACCTCCAGGATTCCTGCCCTTCACGCCGAACTCTCCATCAACTGGGGGATCCAAGTTATGCAGTGAGCTCGTACATCGAAGATGGGACAAGACAGAACGCAGCATGGGCGCACTGTGGACATGGAGGTGGAGATTGACAACGCAGTGTGTATCGTACTCGGGCCAGAGTCATGTCCACGAGGAATTTACGCACTTGGCGTGCCGATGCGGCTCTTGATCACGGGCTCTGAGGAGTTTTCTTTAATCCCTCGAACAGTGTAGTTCATCGAAGTGAGCTTGGATGCAAGATTTTATTTGGAGTGGTTTGCTGCCGATCAGGAAATAATTGCGCAGTGCCTTGTTTGGTTGTGTAACCATCCACCGAAGTCACCGCGGCGCGGCCCAATTACACATCGGCACAGTCGACGCCCTGTGCGATATTCTTAAGGAAGCGTTGCCATTGAAGCAACATTTATTAGCAAGCGTCCATGGTTCTACATCGCCTACGTGGCATTTTCTTGCCACGCAGGCCACTGTGGGAGCAGCCCCAAGCGTGGTGGACATGCTACACTTATTCCAATGTTTTATGCGCTTCAAGTTGCTGATGATTATGCAAAAAAATTCCTCTTTCACATGGAGAGGTATTTACCAAGGAATAATGTAATTTTTATTTGAGATTAACATTTCCAATGGTGTTTTTAAATGATAAAAAATAAATAATAAATAATAAATAATCAATAAAAAATTATATGTTTTGATGTGGATTTAATATGGTTTTTTTTTATCTTAAAAAGAATGGATTGAAGGGTGCTATTTTTTGCATTGTGTAGCTTGAATGCAGAAGGTAAAATCAAATGTTTTCATTCAATCCATGCTTGTAATATATATATATATATATATATATATATATAGGAAATAATACAAATTTTATGTACACAATACCATAGCTATAATTGGTGAATGTAATATTCTTTGTAGAATTCATAAGATTTCTATGAAAACATCTTTATTCTATCAACTTTCAAACATGAAAAAAATATTGAATATAAAATGTCAATACATATTATATCATATTCCAATACTATTTCTACAAAGCTATTATAAAGAATTTGATGCCATATCAGAATGGATTCAGAGTTTTATTTTGTTTTATTTTTTGAAATACATAGGAAAAAATTGAAGAGAAGAATATTGTACCTTGCATTCTAGTTGTCACTCTTATTTTACAATAAATATTTTTTAATAGACATACAAACACAAAATACTTTCCATATAGCCAATTAAGATTGGCCTACCAAAATATATTGGACTGAGAATAATAGGTCCACATAAATATATTCATTCACCTTCTGTACAACTACTTTGTGTATTATAGAGAAGCATCTTTGAAGGAAAAAATAAAAATATAAAAAACACATCTTTTAAAAAATTGCTAACATGTGTTTATGATATTTTTTTAATAACCAATTTAACACCAAAAACTTGGTCAATAAAAAATAAATCAAAAAATTGGAAACTAAAAGTTTAATTTATAGTAACAATCAGAAATAAATGTAATTTTTTTAAAAACTTCAAGTGGTTTATATATACATTGACTCTCAAAAGTGAATTAATCAACAAAACAACAAAATTTGAGAAGCCATGTCTATAAGAATACTAATCTTCTTGCCAAAAAACAAATTGGATGAGATGTGCAAGCAAGCTAACTATCATTATTCTAAATTTTAGCTTGAGAACTATTATAGCAAGAGAGAAATTGCATTTCAAATGAACTTTGGTCTACTAACTCAGTTTTGGAATTATTTTCATTAGTCACCTTTAATTGCAAGAATAAATTTTAAAATATTTCTTAGGATTCTTCTTCTAACTTTTGGTTGGTAGTGTGGTCTTTTAGGACATTTTTTCTTATAATTGTGAAGGTTTGCTTTGTCCATGAGAGCATTACAAGAGAAAAAGATGTTAAATGCTATAGCCTTATTGCAGCATGGGTGTAGCATATATGAAGTATCAAAATTGTTAGATATCACTTAATCTAAATACTCTAGAATTCATGGAAAGTATGTTCCTTACATAGAGCCTTTAAGAAGAGAGTGCCAAAAAAGCATCTTCTTTGCTCAAAGATAAGCTTGTATAAGAGCATTCTAATTGATGGATTAGATAAAGTTTTAGATATAATGAATGCTTTAAGTAGGCACTTAAATGTGGTGGTGACCACCAATATAGTAAGACATGCACTTCATGAATTAAGTCTTGGATCATTACAAAAGCAAAAGAAGTAATTGCTCACAACCAAAAATGTGTGTTGTAATTTAGAATTTATTAAACTTTATCAAGATTAGACTGGTTGTAATTAATATAATGTGATTTTTAGTAATGAGACTAAGATCAATCAATTTCAATTTAATGGTTGTCTTTAGTGTTGGATAAGGGATAGAGAATTTCAATTACAAGCTCATCATGTGAGTCAGACAATTAAACATGGAAGTGGTACAATTTTTTTGTGGAGTTGTATGACTTTCCATGGAATGGTTTACATGTGCAAGATAGAAGGGAAGATGAAATAAGATCTATATTTTAGCATTTTGTAAGATCAACTTATGAAGACAATTGAATGAAATCATTTCAACTTTTTTTGTATTATATTTTAACATGAAAATGATTCTAAAGATATTGCAAAATCACTCAAAAAGTAGTTTTCAATGAATTTTGTTGATATACTAACTTTGCCTCCTCAATTATATGATCTAAATTTAATTAAGTATGTGTGGGCATTTGTGAAACAAAATTTAAATGAATATCTGTCAAGGACAAGAACTCGATGAAAAAAACAATTCAAACAAGTGAGCATTCACTCAAAGAGAGGTAACAAAATATATATAAACAAGTATATATATTGAAAGAGAAACTGGAATGGCTATTGCGAAAAGACAAGAAAACTAGAGACCCTTGAAACAGACTAGAAGCAAGAAAGGAGTTGACAAGAGTGAAGAAGCCTTCATTCTTGTCTTTATATATACTCTCTAACTAGGGGCTACGTGGCGATGTTCTATAGGACCTCCAATATGTGTTGACTTTGTAGGGCACATGTCTTGACTTACAAGGCAAGTTTTTCTACGTGTGGGCCACATAGTTAGCTTGATCTTCAAGCTAATAACATGTGTGGCACATGGCCAACTTGTTGACCACGTTTCTAATCCAAAAAGTCAATTAAAGACACCTATGAAGTCAAAGCAGCATCTAGGAAATTTCTAGGAAGCTTTTATATTAAATATTATAGAATTAACTTACTTTTACCTACTTTTACTTACTTCTACCTATTTCTATATGTAATTATTAGCTTACATGATTATGGCCGTGACATTACCCCCCCTTCTAGAGACGAGTTCCACAAGGAGCGGTCATCATATGTTGAAGAAATCTATGATGCGACGAATTGTATTCGCCACATATTCTGATCTCTGTTCTCTTCGAAGATGATTGATAGGGCCTCTCAACCATCAATAGTGTCCCATACCAGGGCGGGAAGACCACTCAGTTATTTGATCATTGTTGAGGCCTTCGTAACTTCCTTCGAATAGAATATTTGGAACACCATCAGGAGTTGTTCCTACCTCTAGCAAAATCACCAAACATCGGGAGTCCCTTCCCAAATCGTGATACCAAACGCGTTGTATCTCACCATCTATTCGAGGAAGAATATGTCGTTCTTGAAGATCTTCATCTCGATTGCGTCGTCTTGAAGGTTGTGACAATCGTAATGTCTCGTCCGACAGGTCAGCAAATGAAGGCTCTTGAGTTGAATCCGCTGGTTGTTGGTTCTCCATCTCCTGAGCGCCACCACTACAACGAAGCTACGAACAAGAATTGAAAAGTAGAATGTTATCTTGCCTAGATGTTGTTTCTTTTATAAAGAAGGTTTTCATCTTGATTTTGATGGATGTCGTCGATAAAAAGCCTCCACCGCCTTTATTGCATTTGCAAGATTCTTCATTGGCTCCCATGTGCATTCACTAATATCATATCCGCGCCAATGGATAAGATATTTTATTTTATTTCAACGTCGCCTTGAATCTAAGACTTCTTCTACTTCAAACTCTTCATTATTGTCCACTTCTATAAGAGGAGGTAGAGCTTGTCGTCTTCTTGGTATGTCCACTGTCTTGTATGGTTCAAGAAGAGACACGTGGAATACTGGATGGATTTTCATTGTCTTCGGTAGATGTAAACGATATGCAACTGGATTGATTTGTGCAGAAATAGAAAATGGTTCCAGCCTTCGATAGTCCAACTTGTCGCAAGGACGAGTGGTCTTGATATTACGACGAAGTAGCCATACCTTATCATCCACGTTGAGTTGTGGTTGCTCCTTACGATATACATCTGCATTTATCTTTTGTCGTTCTTGAGCTTCCTTCAATTGTGCCTTCATTATTGTATGTAACTCTGACAACAGATTTGCCATATCTTCTACTGGAGGATTATCAACTTTTGAAAAATCAAAAGCATCAAGTCGTGGATGATAGCCATAATTGGCAAAGAAAGGTGTTTGTTGCGTGGAAGAATGTACCGTATTATTATAAGCAAATTCTGCCAATAGCAGAAAGGTTGTCCAATCATCTTGTTGGTAATTGATGGTACACCTTAAATACTGCTCCAAGACTTAGTTTACGTGCTGTGTTTGTCGATCAGTTTGAGGATGGAAAGCCGAAGATAGCTTTATGTCCACTTTTAAAATCTTGAAAAGGGTCCTCCAGAATCTCGACACAAATTGAGTTCCCCTATCCGATATGATATCTTTAGGTAATCCATAATAGCG